ATATAAAAGACAAACATAACAAACAATTTGTATTCCAGTTAATGCTTGAGCTTGTAATGAATGATGAATTTTATATATCCATTGACATGGTAAAAATGAATTGTGATCAACAAACCTTAAAATCAAAAAGTAGCTAATAACTAACTTAATGTAATAAAATCGACTTATGCATTCAAATTCGAAAAAAAACTACCTAGTTAATATCTCTACAAAATGCATACTTAGCAAAAGTCGAAGCAATTGCTTGATGAACACGTATATCAGGGTACTGTTGTTTTAATTGTTGTTCAAGATAAGTTAATGTTCGAAAATCAATATCATTCATAAGTTGAGCTAGAGCAAACTATTTTATATACATACAAAAAAAAATTATTATAATCATAAATTTCTTTTATCTATTTGAGCAAGAGTACAGGAACTTGTAGTATGTTGAATAGAATCTTCTAATAATTTAATTCCTATGATTGTAAATGCATGACTATTAATTAATAAAAAAAGGTAATAATGTTCGTAAAGCATTTAGTGAAACATGTATAACACGTGCATTATTATCATTAAGACATATAACCTTGAACTATCTTGTGAATCAGTTGATACAAGTGAACATTAATTAATAAAAGAATTATTAAATAAATTTGATAATGATGATAGTGTTAAAAGATGATTTGTTGTTTGAATTAATGTAACAAGTAAATTTGCACATGCACCACGTAAATGTAGATCACCGTATTCACATAAAGATAAAAGATATGTAATATCTTAAAGAAAAGAAAAAAAAGATACTTTGATGTTCGATAAATTTTAATGTATTACAAGTCATATAGAGATGTGAATTTCATTTTTTCCTTTAGAGAATTCAATTTTAATTACAAAATTATATTTAATCAGAAATCTTCAAAAACTAAAGAAAAACTCCTTAGAGGATACAATTGATTTCATATCTCGAACTTCGGCTTAAAACGTTTTTGAGGTAGTTGTGTGATTGTATAATTTCAATCTCTGATGTATAAATGCAGGCTTTGAGCTTCAATAAAGTGTTCTACTTGATATCTTTTCGAGTCTGATAATGTTCTAGTCTTTTGTTGGTTTCAAAAAAATTAAAAGTAGGAATAGGACTAGAGTTGCTGAATCAATATTCAGAAATCTCCGTTCTTGAATTTTCAGATTCCAATATATATATATGTTTCAACAATTTAATAGTGAAATTGTCAAATCTATCAGATAACTTTCACTAAAACTTTGAGACCTTAACCAATTGAAGCCACGTCAACTAAACTCTGCCACAATCTTCTTCACCTAGGCCCTCCTACTGTTACGACATGAGAAATAATTTTGGATTATAAAAAAAATCTATTTTACTGAACTGAAACTTTGCAAAAAAAGTCAAACAAGAATTAAACATACTTTCAATAAGGTAATCAAATCGACCAAATTGTTTATAAATACGATAGACATATTGGTATAGCACATTTAACACTAATACATGATTCATCATCACTTTTTATCGTACTATCTATATTGAGCATATATCTAATAGGAAAAAAATATAGTTGATTAACAAGTTTAGCAGCTGATAATCATTTTTCATTATTAATCATTGATGTTGAATCGAATTCATCATTCATTTTATTTACTAAAATATCTTGTTGTTCATTAATTTCAATAAATCAACGTTGATATGTTGAATAAGCTATTATTTTAGAAAAAAAAACACAAATAAAAAAATTCCTTTTTTTTCTATAGATCCAATTTGGGTTGAAATTAAGAATTCATCTAAATCAAATAAATTTGAATAACCAAGTAATTGAATAAGATTTTTTATTAAACTAAGATAATCAATTATTAAATATGTAAGGTGCAGGCAATTCAAACTTCGAGTAAAAATTTTTTTTTGCCTTTTTTTTAATATCATTTGATAGAGTTTTAGCTGCTGATCACGAATATCTACTTCTTAGCCTTAGC